CAAAACAACTTCATCTAGATAAAGTTGTTTTGGTGCCTCGAAAATCCCTTTAACTTTATCATGGTTACAGAATTGACGAGGTGATTTAAAGGGAAACTGTCACTTCCCAAAAGCGACAGTTCCTCATTCCTTCATCCCATTAAATGCTATTGCAGTATTAACGGAGGTTTACTATGTAGTGTGGGCAAGTAAAATACTTACCTCCACCTAACTGCATTGCGGCAACTTCATCATGCCATGATTGGGAAGAAGATTAAAGTAGAATAATTGTACTGCTATAACTATTAGTTTTCCTGGTGTAAATTCTTCAAAGTTTCAACAATATCAGAAACACCAGACCAGCACATATATTCATAAAGGGAAACTGACAAGGGACTTTACCAACATTGAGATTTCACACACATTATTAGAGCTGTTCATTATTTGCTTTTAATAGTGGTTATCTGTAACTCCTTGGTGCTACTTATGAAATTTGCAGACATTTAACAGCCACTGCTCGCTAAAAGTAGCAGATGACTGGTAAATAGTAGCAACAGTTATAGGGATACACCAGCCCTTCAGTGTTTATATTGAACAGCCTATCTAATAAATACAATCCTTGTTGCTATTTCTGTGGGGATTTTTGGATGTTTTTTAACTTTTCTTTGCTGTAGTAACCGATTTGATACAGATACTAGTTTGTGTTACTTTTAATATAACTTTAAAAAAAAAAAAAAAGATCATTTTAATTTTTAAATGCCTATTGGCTGCTCAAGCAGCCAGTTGGCAAATAGTGAGAAAAAAAAACCATGGGGGAGTGAGGCTTAATCACATGGTGGCTAGCCAACACTTGCTAGTCTGCTCCACATTTAACGGTTAACAAATAGATACGTAAAACATGTGTATTGGGTCAACATGACCCCCATATTAGTATAAGGGAGTTTTTGAACCCTCACCTGCCATTCCTCAGCTGGAGGTATATATACTAAACAGTAAACAGGCAGCGACTGCTCGATGTAATTAAATCTAGCACCTGGGCATCAACGCCCCATTCCATGGGGATAAGGGCCTATGTAATATGGGCAAGGACCAATGTATCAAATATGTCAGGTTTTTTTGTTATATTTTGCAAGTGCTTCTGTTTCCATCTATCTGCTATTTTTGAATGTACACTATTTTGTTTCCAGTGTCACAACATATTTATCAATCTTACTAACACTTCTTTTTGACAGAACAGTGTTCTGTCTCATTTAAAAAAAAATAAAAAATTCTGCAACTGTAAAGTTGGTGTTTTACTGAAATCGAAATTTCACAAAAAATGGGTGGAATTTACTATGATGAAAACCATCACATTTTTGATTTGTTGTAGAATATTTTAATAAATTCAATCAAAACAATGACAGAATTTAACGTTACTTTTTCAGAACACTTTGTGAAGGAGTTAATAGCTAATAGTATGTTTACTAATCTCTATTTTTAACAAATACATATTTGTGAGGTGTGAATAGTAAAATAAAAATGTAGAGTTCCATACCTCTTTTTCCTGCAACTGGGAACCTCCATCTTACCTCCCTGTCAATCATATAATTTTTACATCTGACAGTCATCATAGGAAAAGTATACAAAGAAGAGGAGACAATTTTTCAAAAAACTTTTTTATTCCCCCTCTTCATTTGCAATGTTTGCCCTGACTTTACCTTGTCTGAACTGGGTTCTTAACTTGTGATGTCATTAGCTAATCTCATGAAAAAAAAAAAGGATACACATGCTCTAAGTAATTATAAATGTTTTATTTACTGGTGTAAATTTCCCTTTACAAAAATATGTGTTTTCATTCTCTTTGTTTTTTTTCTTTCTAGTGAAATGATTGATATTATGGTAGGAGGTCAGTTATTCTCCATAATTTAAGGAATTTAATTCTCTTTAATTTATGATAAAATTGTATCAACTATGGAAATTACACTTTATTTCACTTTAAATTAAAATATTAATTACTGCACTTTTGGAGTTGCGTATCCTTACCTCGATCTAGGAGTACTGAGAAAGAGATTGTTGGAAAAAAAGCTAACCAATCAAACAGTATACTAGTCAGAATCTTTTGAATGGAAAATATAAACGTATACCTAAGGGATGGATATTTAATTTGTGATTTTGATTTTATACATCGAAAGTCTTATTATTTGATTGATGTATATAATATTATTTCATTGGTAATATTTTTGTATACATTGGGGGAGCTTTATCTTTATTTGTTCTGTTCTACTCTGAAGATGTATCTTTATCTATTCTAGAGAATTGCCTGTTCTAAAAATTGAAAATTAAAGTGGGGCAAATTAATCACCATGGACATCAGAAGAACCAGCAAGCACATTCCATCAGTGACTCCTCCCCTTTTTCAAAAAATGTGATTGATCTGTGTCCATGTTTTGCAGATTTTTACTATTTTATTTTGTGCAATGTTACATTTATTAATTTTTTTTTGCTATTTTTTTTTAATGCCGGTACTGAGATTATTTAGCTTAATTGTAGCTACACTGGTTAAAATAATTATTTTATTATATTTTAATTATTGTAGTTCTATTTCACAGAAGATCTCAATTTCTCATTATTTCATGCATGTGCAGTTAATAAAAGCTTTTCATTTTTAAAACGCTGAGTAAAGCATGTTTTTTGTTGAATTAGTGAGTACAGAGTTATTACACTTAAGTCATTTTCTGTCTATAGCGTTAACAGTTGAGTTGATTATTATAATTGTCATCACCTCTATACAATATCAGTTGGCCTTTGTTAGTTTTTATGTAATTCTTAACAGCCCTTAAAATAATGTTTCTCTTTGATTCTAAATATTCCTAACTTTTATGGTTCTAAAATATTAATATTTCAACTTTTTAGTGTTAAATTGAAGTGGAGTTATTTTTGTGCTAGATGCCCATGAGAAGCAGCCAGCTGGCTTTAAGACTCTGGTTCAATGACAAATGATATGAATACAACATCTTCCTATTGAGCAGCTGCCATAGCAGTAGGATATCCGAAGAAGAAGCAGGCAGTGAGCTGCAGCCACAGGCTCAGATATAGCATCTGTTTTGCATGATGCCATGTTGAGATTTGTTTCTATAAATGCAAACAAATAACGACCCTGTTCAGAAACCCAAATATAGATTGGCTTCTTAGAAGTCCTGTGGTTATGAGGAACTAAGTTAACTGTGTTGTGAATTGAGCCATAAAAGGTTGAATTCTTGTACTTATGTTTCATTAAAAATGATGCACAAATACATGATACAATATACCAAAAAAAGAGGGGGGGGGGAGGGGGGTGCGTGGGTAGGGGTATTTCAATATAAGAAGTTATTGAGTTTTTGATAAACTGATCACATTGATAAACTGATCACATTGATAAACTGATCACATAACTGGGCCTTAAGAGAGCAAAAAGTACTTTAAGAAAGTCCAGTAACTTTAGAGGGAAAGTAACCTATATGTGCATATGTATAGAACGTATATGAAAGTATGCTGTTCGATCCAGATATGGTAATCTTGACATATCTCAAGTAGAAAAACAATTATCATAAAGGTAGAATAAGATTGATAAGGCAAGTGATTGATAGGTGGTAGGAAGTTAAAAGTTATGTATGAGTTGCATTAATGAGTGAGTGACCTTAAACAAAGGTGGGATGAAGGCCTCAAAATGGCCTATGAATTAGTTACACAGAAGACATACTGAATGGCTGTGACAGGTGACAACCTTACTAACCAAAAAGTGTTCAGTGTTAGTGGCAATGATTTTGGTTAAGTGGTAATCTTTTGCATAGGAAGGGAAATGAGAGAACATAGTGAAAGCTAACTAAATCGCTACTGGCAACGTGTTCATGTAACGTGTGGAAAAGTTATGAATGAGACTGCTGTGCAAACTAATAGAAGCAACTGCACAGTGATATTTGTTTATTAACTTGCAAAAACCACTCTCGCGTCTACCTAAGAGACGTGCGCTTATTAGATTCATTATATCGATAGAATTGAAAGTAGCTGGATGGTTAATAGATTAAAGTACAGTGGAACCTCGGTTAACGAACGCCTCGGCAAACGAAAAATTTGGTTTATGAATGAAAATCCATTAACAAAAATGCCTTGGTTTACGAATTTTTTTTTCAATATGAAGCAAGTGTCCTGGTTTATAGCTCCGCCCCCCTACATACTGTTGTCTGTATAGCACGTGAGTGTGGAGTGTGGAGGAGTTGGAGAGGTTTTTGAGCCATTTGCAGCAAGTTATGGAGCCTTTTGGAGCCATTTGCAGCAGGTTCTGGAGCCTTTTTGGTGCATATCTCAAGAGGTAGAAAGGTAGGAAGCTGAGCTTAGTTGTTTGCATGCCTGTTACTGTGTGTTCTGAATTGTGGGGTGATTTCCACAACAGCTCAGCTCATGGCTTTTACTGTGGTTTCCATGCCAGCTCATGTGCTGTGCATGCCTGTTACTGTGTGTTTTGCACTGTGGGGTTGTTTTCCATGCCAGCTCATGTGCTGTGCATGCCTGATACAGCTCATGTGCTGTGCATGCCTGTTACTGTGTGTTTTGCACTGTGGGGTTGTTTTCCATGCCAACTCATGTGCTGTGCATGCCTGTTACAGCTCACTTGCTGTGCATGCCTGTTACTGTGTGTTTCCATGCCAGCTAATTTGCTGTGCTTGCCTATTACAGCTCATGTGCTGTGCATACCTGTTACTGTGTGTTTTGCATTGTGGGGTTGTTTTCCATGCCAGCTCATGTGCCGTGCTTGCCTGTTACTGTGTGTTTTGCATCGTGGGGTTGTTCCCATGCCAGCTCATGTGCCGTGCTTGCCTGTTACTGTGTGTTTTGCATCGTGGGGTTGTTCCCATGCCAGCTCATATGCTGTGCATGCCTGATACAGCTCATGTGCTGTGCATGCCGATTACTGTATGTTTTGCATTGTGGGGTTGTTTTTCATGTCAGCTCATGTGGGTGTAAAGCATTTTTTCTTTTTTTGCACACTTAGTGACGGTGGTGTCATGGCAACCAAGAAAGCAGCGGAAGCTGGGAAGAGGAAGAAGGAGATGATTCTGTTTGAGGACAAGAAAGAAATCATCAGGAAGCATGAAGGAGGAATGCGATTGACTGACCTTGCCAAAGAGTATGGAAGGAGTGCATCCACAATTGGTACAATCCTAAAGATGAAAGAGAAGATAACTAGGAGAGATGCAGCCAAGGGAGTCACCAGGGTCTCCAAGCAATGGCCACCTGTTCTGGAGGAGGTCTAGAAGTTGCTCCTGCTCTGGATTGAACAAAAGCAGTGAGCAGGGGACTCAGTGACCAAGGTGATCATCTGCGAAAAAGCCAAGGCCTTGCACGCTGACCTCCTCAACCAACAGCCAGGAACACCAGCAGACAGGGCCGGACTGGGAAAAAATTAGGCCCGGGCATTTTTCAATTAGAGCAGTCCCCCAAGAAGGGGGCGAGGCCAGAGAGGGTGTGTTTTGTCATCACTAATGACAAGTACGTCCCTTCTGAAAGTGAGCATGTTGGTTCAATGCGCAGAGCCCCGCTGAAGAGCTCTAGCATTAGAAAAAGGCCCTGTATTTGTTCTGCGCAGCGCAAGCAAATGTAATAACATGCTTGCGCTGTGTTTGCTTTTAAATTGTCTCTGGTGTCTCCACAAGTGGGATACCAGAGGATAAAAGGGCCAGGAAAGTGTATGGTGCATGTGTTTGGCGCATGCTTGTGGGGTTGCCTGTGTGTGTAGAGTGTGGTGTGGAATTGTGTAAATAGGTCAATTTTGTGGTGTAATATGTGTGGCTAGGGGCTGTACAGAGTGCGTGTATAGGGGCATAGTGTTATAGGGGATGTAGCGAGTGTGTACATACGGGCAGTAGTGTGTGTGTATAGGTGACGTAGTGTGTGTAGGGGTTGTAGAGAGGGTGTGTTTAGAGAATGTTGTATGTGTTTTCTTACAAGGAATGTAGTGTGTGTGTGTAGGTGGTGCAGTGTGTGTGTAAGAGATCTAGTGTGTAAAGGACTCAGAGTGTGTATAGAAGATTGTGTGTGTGTGTGTGTGTAGAGGATTAAGAGTGCATATAGGGTAAGGGATCTAGCGTGTATCTGGAGCATAATGTGTGTAGTGGTGCAGTGTGAGGGGTGTGTGTGTATATATATTTAGAATATATTTGGACGTATTGTATGTGTGAGGTGCGCAGTGTGTTTGTGTAAGAGGGGTGCTGTGTGTGAGGGTGTTTTTATCTGCCGTCACATTCTAGGTTTCTAATTTTCTTTGTCTGTTAACTCACTGAGGGTTATTTTATATAATATATATATATATATATATATATATATATATGTGTGCTGTATATGTGTGGGAGTGAGGGTGCTGTCTGTCTGAGGGTGCTGTCTGCGTCTGAGTGTGTTGTGTGTGTCTGGGGGTGCTGTGTGTGTCTGGGTGCTGTGTGTGTATGGGGGTGCTGTGTGTGTCTGGGTGCTGTGTGTGTCTGGGTGCTGTGTCTGGGTGCTGTGTCTGGGGGTGCTGTGTGTGTCTGGGTGCTGTGTGTGTGGGGGTGCTGTGTGTGTCTGTGTGCTGTGTGTGTCTGGGGGTGCTGTGTGTGTCTAGGGTGCTGTGTGTGTCTGGGGGTGCTGTGTGTGTCTGGGTGCTGTGTGTGTGTGGGGGTGCTGTGTGTGTCTGGGTGCTGTGTGTGTCTGTCTGGGGGTGCTGTGTGTGTCTGTCTGGTGGCTGTTAGGGAATTTAATTTAAATATTTTTGTTTTTATTATTCCCGTGAGAGGACCCGGCGGAGCTGATGGCTAGAGCTCCGCCGGTCCTCTCTCCTGCCTCCCTCCCTTTGATCTCCTCACTGGCCCATGGAGGCACACAGCAGGGCTGGCGCTCGGGTAGCTCTGGCCCTGCAGGGGCTGGCAGGGGAGATTCTGTGATCTCCCCTGCCGGCCTCGGCCCCACGGCCATCGTGGCCCACCGGGCATTTGCCCGGTATGCCCGATGGCCAGTCCAGGCCTGCCAGCAGATGCAGAAGGCTTCAAGGCCAGCAAGGGGTGGTTCAAAAGGTTCAAGACCAGATTTGGCATCCACAACGTGTTTAGGCATGGAGAGGCTGCAAGTTCCGATGTTGCTGCAGCTGAGGAATTTGCTACAGAGTTCCTGGAGGTCATGGTTTCAGAGGGCTACCTTCCTCAGCAGGTCTTCAACTGTGATGAGACTGGACTCTTCTGGAAGAGGATGCCAAAGCGTCCCTTCATCACAGAAGAGGAGACCTCATTGCCTGTCCACAAGCCGAGGAAGGGCGGTCTCACCCTCCTGTTCTGCGCCAACGCCAGAGGGGACCTTAAGATCAAGCCCCTGCTCGTCTACCATTCAGAGAACCCATGGGCCTTCAAGAAACACAAGGAGCAGTTGAGCGTTTTGTGGCAGTCTAAGCCAAAGGCTTGGGTCACACGCCTCTTTTTTGTGAAGTGGGTCAATGTGGTTTTTGGTCGTGCTGTCAAGCAGTAGCTTGTGGACAATAACCTGCCGCTCAAGGCCATGCTGCTCATGGGCAATGCTCCTGCTCATCCTCCAGGCCTCGAGGAAGACTTGTTGGAGGACTTTAACTTCATCAAGGTCATATTCCTTCCGCCTAACACCACCGCACTACTCCAGCCAATGGACCAGCAGGTCATCTCCAATTTTAAAAAACGCTATACAAGGGAGCTTTCTCCGTTGATGCTTTGAGATGACAGATTGATCAAGCCTCACCCTCCATGAATTTTGGAGAGAGCATTTTGACATTGTGAGCTGTCTGCAGATTATCACCATTGCCTTGGCCGGGGTCAGTCAGACAAACCTAAATTCTGCTTGGCGCAACCTGTGGCCAGACTGTGTTGTGAAACCTGCCTCCAGTGCTTTTGCACCTGTACCAGAGTCAACAGTGTTGGAGGAAATTGTTTCCTTGGGGAGGACCATGGGCCTGGAGGTGACTGAGGAGGATGTCTACGAGCTGGTGGAGGAAAACAATCGTGACCTAACCACCAAGGACCTGGTGGAATTGCAGAAGGAGGCGATGGAGGAGCAGATCTCACTTGAGGAGGAGGAGGAAATGAGTGAGGAACAGCTTTCTTCAACAGAAATCAAGGAGGCAGGGCAAATGTGGATACACCTACAGACTTTTGTACAGCAGCACCACCCAGATAAGGCTTTAGCCCAGAGACTTGTGATCAGTTTTGACACAGACATCATGTCCCCTTTCCGAGGGATGCTTAAAAGGTGCCAGAGGCAGCAGACAATGGAAAGGTTCTTACCAAAAAAGCCTAGACATGAAGAAGAACCTGCTTGTGTTAGTAATGCCCAATTGCCCCCTTCCTCAGCTTCCAAAAAGTGCTGAAATTGTTTTAAATTTTCCATGTGATTTATGTACAGTTGAAGTGTACTGTAGCATGTTACCAACAGTATGCCATGTTTTAAAAGTTGGATGTTTGAAATGTTATTGCTTGATTAATCATGTCCCTGTGAAGTATTTATGCCTTTAAAGTGCACTTTATAAAGAGTTTTGAACAGATAAAATACTTTTTTTTGTAACTTTTATCTCACCTCCAGAACGCATTAATTGGTTTTCAATGCATTCCTATGGGAAACCACATTTCGGTTTACGAATTTTTCGCAGTACGAAACGTCCCGGAAAACACATTAAATTCGTAACGAGGTTCCACTGTATCACCACACTGAATAATCACATTCATATTGTTTATGGTTTTATGGATTTTATGGTTTCATACGGGATGGAAACTGTTCCGGATCCCTGGTGGATGGGGTAAGAAAAATTGTCTGCTTTATTCTAAAAAGAAAAATTTCCTGCTTTACATTCTATTAAAGCAATATTACATAAGCAAATATCCCTGAAACTGGGGTGGTATGAATATATGTGAGGATGTATTTATATGGAATGTCTGTGTATGTGCACACATTAAGTGTTTAGTGTGTGCATGCAGGAGAATTGTTTTGGTTTTCCAAGGAAGTAACAGGATCACTCTCCACTTGACAGGGATTGAAACAAGGTTAATGTATAAAAGTGGAAATTTCTATTTAAATCTAAGCTTTTTATAGAATGAAAAAAAAAAGGATGCACTATCCACACATAAGTAGCTTCAGCAAGCTGAAGTGCTTTCAGGGTTTTAGACACATACATACACACATACAGACATACATACAGACACACACACATACACTGAGACACACACACACATACACACAGAGACACACACATATAGAGACACACAGATACATACAGAGACACAGACACACACACAAAAACATACACACATACAGAGACACAGACACGCATAAAACAGAGACAAACACACACACATACAGAGACACAGACACACACACATACAGACACACACACATACAGACACACACACACACACATACAGAGACACACACACATACACAAAATGTTTCCTATTTCCTACCTTTTGTGACTTTCCCTGGGGTCCAGAGGGGGCTCAGCGTGATGGGAGTCAGAGTTCCCACTCTGACTCCCTCCTCCTCCTTCCTCCCGCGCAGGCTCTGATAGCTGGGAGGAGTGACCGGGGAGTCACTTCCTCCCAGCAGTGATGTAATCACAAGGGGCCCGGTTGCACTGTTAAAGCACCTAGCACTGACCGGGCCCTCTGATAATCCATATCCATCCAGTGGCCCTGACAGCATGGGCCACTTGATGGACCCTTTAACCTGCGGCCCCGGCGGTTTACCGCACAGACCGGGGCCGCAAAACGTGGCAACTGGTACCCGTCGCGGGGGTCCACAGGACGGCTGGACCCCCTGGAGTGACGGGCACGGTCGCAGCTGCGACTCCTGCGACCGCGGTATGTACGCCGCTGTTGGTAACTCTGCACATCAATGTCATGAGTGTGGTTTGCAAGCAGTTACTAGACATTAATGTTTTTCAGCTTGCACAAACAAATAAAATTTCTACACCACAACAAATCAACCCATCCGGGATTTACCTGTGGTATAAGACTCCACAGGTAATTCCTGGATGAACAATTTGTTCGGGTATAGATTAAAAGGAATCTGATTTATTCATGTGTTTGGCAGATGATATGCCCATTAAATTTGGAGATTAATATTGTTTTGAAATGTAATTCATCTGAATTTGGGTGGTCGAATTCCTGACCTGTAAGTCAAAATATAGCCAAATTACAAGCCAAACAAAATGAGCAATGGATTAGCATGTTCGTTTTGATCTGTGATTCTTAATTCCATGCATGGTGTCAAACAAATAAATTAATGATGGGAAAAAAAGATAATTGAAGGCTAGGGGGCAGTGACTAAATGTTGATTTTATTCACAGTTCAAGTGAGGACGGACTACTAAAGGGAAAAAAGCAGGAGAAGCAAAAAAAATAAAATCTCTGTTTATATAGTTTTATATTATATGTAATCAATATATACTGTTCCGCCTCTTTGTTCCCTCTATTGGTTACTTTTTATCTCTTGATCTATGAAACAAATAACAACAAAAGGCTTTATCTGTGTGCTGTAAAATATATCCAAAATATTTTTATATGCACGAAAAATATTTATAGTATGTATATATTTTCCATTACACTGATTGGCCCATTTTCTTTTATGGTTTGTCTGATTCATTTTTCTTAAAGGACCACTATAGTGCCAGGAAAACATACTCGTTTTCCTGGCACTATAGTACCCTGAGGGTGCCCCCAACCTCAGGGTCCCACTCCCGCCCGGCTCTGGAAAGGGGGAAAGGGGTTTAAACTTACCTTTTTCCAGCACTGGGCGGAGAGCTCTCCTCCTCTCGATCCTCCTCTTCTCCTCCCCGCGGCTGAATGCGCACGCGCGGCAAGAGCTGCGCGCGCATTCAGCCGGTCGCATAGGAAAGCATTCATAATGCTTTCCTATGGATGCTGGCGTGCTCTCACTGTGAAAATCACAGTGAGAAGCACGCAAGCGCCTCTAGTGGCTGTCAATGAGACAGCCACTAGAGGATTAGGGGGAAGGCTTAACCCATTAATAAACATAGCAGTTTCTCTGAAACTGCTATGTTTATTAAAAAATGGGTTAACCCTATCTGGACCTGGCACCCAGACCACTTCATTAAGCTGAAGTGGTCTGGGTGCCTAGAGTGGTCCTTTAATCTTTTTTGTTAGAAAATATCAACAGAAATTTAAATATTTTGCTCCTCCTTGCACATGTCTAATGTCCATCATTTTAACATTATTTGCGGTGTGAGTTGTGTTCTACAAAAAAATATTTTCTACTATACCCCACTCAAATTTTCTTACATCTTTTGTCTCTCTACTCGGAATGATAAATGTGTCCAATCTATTTCTCATTTAAGCAAGATATTTTAAATCCTTTGTAAAGAATAGTCCAAGCACCATAACGTCTACAGTTTGTTATAGTGGTTATGTTGCCAGGAGTGCCCTTGTGCTCTGAAAGCTTAACCATTTAAGAGTTTGACAACTTACCTGAGGTCCCCAGGTGCCCATATTGCATCAAGCTTTTCTGCAGGGGAACCAGATGTCTCCCCGGTGCAATGCATGGCTCAATACAGGGCCATGCTCATTGGGAAAGAGCAGCCCTGCAAAACCCTGCTTAACTAAGTGCAGATAACTACAGAATCTGGATTCCCTGCTGAATCTGGAAGCAGGGTTTTGGCAGCTGTGCCCAGCAATACCAAGCTGAATTGACAAACCATTGATAGACACTCCTGGCATTATGGCTCTTGGAATATTAATTTAACAGGATATGCTTACGTGGGATCATAGGATATATGTACAATATCAAATCTTGATGAAATACTAATATTGTATGTGTTGTAATTTCTCTGAAATTCCAATCTGTTCAAGAGATATACTGAGACAAAGTAGGGACTCTGTTTATTTTCCACTCCTCACACTTCTACACACTGGACGGAGCTACCACTGTCTAGAAGTGTCAATCCTCAAAGCTGTGGATTACAGAATCCTCCATAGAACTCAATGCTGTACACTCGCTTCTCCACGAATGTTCAGCAGTGATGTCAGCTCCGGGCACTCGAAAAGGACCCACTAGGTGAAGATTGCATCACCCGTGAGGCACAGGTACGGGTAAGTAAATTTCACCTTTACCTGCTCCGGCCACCTTACCCCCAGTGGCCATGTCACTATTGGGGTCTTTGCAAATCCCGAAAAGTCCCCAGACGTGACAGTGCTGCTTTGAGGCCAAAGTGGCTGAACTGGAAAAATTCTCCAAGTCAGTTTTATTTTCAGTTGGACTTCTTTTGGGTTAAATTTGAAATTCACTTTGAATTTACTTTGAATTCTAGATAATTAGCATTTTAGTGAATAATCCTGTTTGTGGAATAAATTACTAAATAAATAATAAATATTATTCCACAAATTCCTTAAACTTTTTTTAAACATCTTTTTACAAGTTTCCAAAGTGCGAAAGTAATGTTTATTTGTTTTGCCTTGATAACAGAGCATGATTATTATTATTATTATGTTATTATTTATATAGCGCCAACAAATTCTGCAGCGCTTTACAGTAGGTGGATGAACAAACATGTAGTTGTAACCAAACAAGTTGGACACACAGGAACAGATGGGTTGAGGACCTTGCTCAATGAGCTTACATGCTAGAGGGAGTGGGGTAAAGTGACACAAAAGGTAAGGATAGTATTAGACTAATGACAGTTGCAAGAGAGGAATCAGTCGGGAGCTATTAACTGTTTAATTGATACGCTTTTTTAATGACCTGCAAGATTTGTTTACAAAAGGCAAATACTTAGTCCATGTTCTTGAAGGAATGGAAGGACTAAAAAAACATTAAAAATAGTCAGTTACAGTGGAGGACGGGTTGACGGGAATCCTCTCCCATTTGGTCTTGCAATATGAGAGTCCAGGCTTTTGTACTTTGTACAATTGTTACTTTGTAAATAATTTTTCATTATTTATTTTTGGTTTCTTTGTTCTGTTTCTTTCTTTTTCTATCTGTCCACTGCTATGTGGAGTGAGCCGAAAAGGGGCCAGGTTTCCTGGGGGACCTTATGGGTTAAGAACTGAATACATTTGCTCCCTATTTTGAGGATCCTATCCCATAAAGTAGTTTCACTTAATGTCCAAGGCTTAAAGAGCCTTAAAAACAGAGTTATTTATTGCAGAAGCATAAACCTTATCCAGAAAACCCATATTCTCAGAGAGTAATGTAAGACTCACAGATCATATTTATACCCAAGTGTATAGCTCTTGCTCGCTTTGTAAGATTAATGGGTTGGCAATTCATCTTCGAAAGGGTTATCCCCTGCAAATGACTAGACATATGCAATTCGTTTCGTTCCGAATGTACATTCTTATGAATTTCATGCTATTTGGACAGTCAAATGCTTACGAATGTCCGAAGTGCCTAAGTTCCAAAGTGACAAAGTTCGGTAGTTTGGAAGTGCTGAAACTCCAAAGCGTCGAAGCTCCGAAGTGCCGAAGTGATTCAGATTTCTGAAAAGTGTCAAAACAAGAGAGATTGAGGGAAAATTATGTGAATGATGACAGGAATCTTGACCAATAAACTAATTCCTTTTGTGCAATGTAATGCTTGCTTGCCCAATCTGGTTTCACTATTCCCTGTCCAATGAAATGAGCAATAGACAGGTGCAATTTGTTTCATTCCAAATGTACATTATTAGTATGAATTGGATGCTTACGAATGTCTTAAGTGCTGAAGTTCCGAAGTGACGACATTCGGCAGTTCAGAAGTGCCGTGCCGAATCAAATTCCAATGGTCCGAATTGCCAAAGCAGACATATTTTTTTTACTTACCCGAGATTCCGAATCGAAACGAATTGTTTGCCCATGCATATCCCCATAATTGACTACAGTGACAGTAGATGAGCAAGGTAAATATATTCTCTTACATTCGGATGATCAAAACATTTGGGACAAGATGTCTGCATTACAGCAGCCTTGTTGGATTAATTTTATCTTCTTGGGGAGTATGTTTAAGCTATGCTGTGTCCTGCAGCTGAAAGATGTGTTAAAAGGAGGTGCCAAACCCACATCACTGCAGCTCCCTAAGTTGCCTGCAGTTCAAGTCTACTCTTTACAGGCAAATGTTACACAGGAGGAAATTAATCTGGCCCTTGCAGGAAACAAAGACCCGGAGCTGGATGGAGTTTCTGGTGTTTTTTTTACAAACATTTAGGGACATGTTACTACATATCCTGACTGTACCTTTTTATTCCGTAAATGACTAAAATAGAAGAGAATGATCCAAACCTACATATTACATACATATTAATTTTGCCAACAGATTGAATCATATCTTGACCCACCTTTTTTCACCCAGACCAAGTGAAGTTTATGCCCACTAGACAGTTGTATGAAAATATCCATAGGAATGCAGACTTCACCTGGTGAGTCACTGTGACTCAAAGTCTTTTCTGGACATTTCCTCAAACTAGAAGAGGCATTGAACAGTGTCCTCTGTGGTACTCACTTACCCCCTTATGCCAGTGGCGTACATACTGGGTCACAGGGGTCGCGGCTGCGACCGGGCCCGGCCCACAAGGGGGCCCGGCCGACCCTGTGACCCGGTATGTACCCACAGGGCCAGCCTCTTCTCCTGGGGGGCCCAGGAGGTGGCCACCTCAGGGCCCCCCCCGAGGGAGCACTCTCCTCTGTGTGCTTCCTCTTCAGCTCCCTCGTGCACCGCACTGATACCGGAGCTGGAAGATGACGTTATCTTCCGGTGCCGGCATCCCTATGCGGCGCGCGAGGGAGCTGAAGAGGAAGCACACAGAGGAGAGTGCTCCCTCGCGCGCCGGCCACCCAGACAGCCAGCCCACCCAGCAGCACCCGTTTCTCTGAATCTGCTATGTTTTCAGCTGCAGGGTTAAAACAAGAGGGACCTGGCACCCAGACCACTTCATTGAGCTGATGTGATCTGGGTGTCTGTAGTGGTCCTTTAAGTGTGTGTGCATACCGCGGTCGCAGCCCTGCAACCCCTGCAACCCCTGCGACCAGGTGCCCGCCGCCATGTGTTGCGGCCCCGACCCGCGCCCAGTAAGCGCGGTGGGGGCCCACAGATCAATTTTCGCACAGGGGCCCCATGGGTCATGTGTACGCCACTGCCTAATGCCATATATTCAGGCCCTTGGACTTAAATAATAATCCCAAGTTCGGTTTGTGAAAATGGAACTAAGCAGGGTTGCCACTTTTATCCCCTGCTGTTTGTCTTGTCCCTTGATCTCTTTCTACATCTCATTCGGAAGTCTTCAGATATAGCTTGTATGACGATACTAGGATATAAATTTCTGGTGTCAACATATGCTGATCCTTTTAACTCTAATAGAATCTATATCCTCTTCATCACTCCTTTGTAAAGTCTTATCTTAATTTGGGTCCCCTTGCATCAATTTCACCATTTAATTTTCTGACCACCGACTTTCTTTGATTTTAGATTGGTGGGGCTTGCACCCCATGTGGTGAATTTTCTTTCTCTTTTCTTTTTTTGTTTCTCCTTATTTCATGTTAGACAAACATGTTATATAAAAGAAGTGCAGTTCTGTATGTTCTAGAATTTAGTCAGCAATCTTGCTGATATAGTTTTGCACTCGGCGTCTTGGCATTTATTTTTAAAAATTATTAGTTGCTTGTCCTGCACTATTGCCTTTGTAATCAGTTACACCTGTTTTTTTAAATAATTTAGTGACCTAAGTCTGACATGGTTTTTAAATAGTTAAATTGTATCCTAATGCATCTTGTGAAACAAAAATTGGGGGAAAAATATAAAAATAAATTAAAATTCTGCTATATTCCTCCAAAAGCATCCTGATTTCAAATATTTAAAAAATTGAAAATTAAGCAGAGCTCTACTTCCCTTAGGTCTTCTTGTTGTGTGTTCTGTAAAGGGCTGGGTTGCTGTATGATTTGCATAGGCCCTCTGTTTAGAGTACTTTTTTTCATCTATCCTGCCGCTTGCCTGTCAAAAGCAGCAGGCAGAAAGTTAATAATGATTTAACTTGCTCCCTGCTGGCAATTGATTGAACCTGTTTCTCGTTGATGATCATCAGGTAGAAGATTAATGTT